GGCCTGTTAGAAACTGTGCACACAGCAGGAGGTGAGCAGCAGGCACACAAGGAGAGCCTCATCTGTATTTACGGCTGCTCCCCATCACTGACACAGAGCTCCACCTCCAGTCAGACCAGCAGTCAACAGATTCCCATAGGAACATGAACCCTATTGTAAACTGAATGTGTGAAGGTAGTGTGCTCATTAGGAGAACCTACTGTAACAACAACAGGGACAAAGCACACGATGTAATGATAGTAATAAAAATAAATGCACAGGAAACAAAAAGTGTAATGTGTTATCACAACTTAATGTAACATCCTTGAAACAACCCCCACCCATGTCTGGGTTGTAGAAAAATTGTCTTCCACAAGACTGGTCCCTGGTGCCAAAAAAAGTTGAGAGCTGATAGCCTACATCAGGATGCATGACAAAGCAGAGGCACCTGGCGGTTTCATCAGCTTTCTCCTCATAGCCTTGTCTCATGAAGGGAAGACAGAACAGCACATTCCCAGGGCTGCCATGCTTGCCAGATATTAATGCTCTTTCAATTTGACTTGAACTGACAACCTCTCTGGACACAATTTGATTTTCCTTTTCTTCTTTAGCCTCTACTACTTCTTACACACTATTCTCAGGATAGTAAATGAGAAGAGCATCCTGTTAGATCTGCAGGCAATAGGTAGAGGCCTTATTGATAGTTTTGCAAAGGATCCTTGACAGGACATGTATGGTGAGTGCATTTGTCAATTTGATCATATTTTACACACACACACACAGAGTGCTGGAAATAACTGAGATCACAAAGAGAGTTGCTGGTGCAGAGCTTCACCAAGAAATCACAGCCCATCCATCCACTCACCATAGGTGATTTTCAGACTCACAGTTGTAAGGGCTTTGGGACTTGGAGTTTTCTATTTACTTTTGAGAAATATCTAGTCACTAAGCGTTTTGTCTACAAACACATGATCTAAAAGGGAACTAATGAAAAGCAATGTGCTGTAGTCTAGCTGGCTCTTAAAGTTGACCTATAGATCTAATTTGTAAATTCTCCCAAGGACTGAGATCCACTTATCAACCTCTTTGTCAACTATTCAGTTAGAATAGCGCAGCTTTCCCCATAGTTTGAATATCATTAACTGTTCCTGGGGAAATGTCCAGGAAACAACATTCAAACAGGTTTCTCATCTACAGGATTCTTGGAATCTTTCTTAATGATTCTTGTGATGCCCAGGACAAGAGGATATAAGCAGCATTAGGTCAGCATATTTCTCCATAACAATGTCCTTCCACGGGGCAACATTTAGCACTGAGCTTGCAGCAAGGTGTGGCTAATGCTGGAAGAGATTCCATAACTGCTTCTAACTTCTGTATAAGATTTAGTCTTTCTGGTGTTCCATGGGGTGAACCGGAAAGATGACTCTAAGTCTGACTTGTCCAGTCATCCCTCACGGACAGAGAAAAGCTGCATATCCATCTATCATGAGCCTTAAGAGGGGAGGCAACCTCACCATTCCACAGCAGATGAGAATACGGAGCTAGAGGCGTCCATTTACCGGTGGCCATCCCTGGACATGTTTCTGGTCAGGAATAAGTGCATAAATTAAAAGAAAGCACTTAGAAGCAATTAGAGCAACTGGAAATAGTCAAGCACATGATCAGAGAGCTCCTCTCATTTTAATTGTACTCTATGAAAAGAAATTGGGGTAAAACTAAAACCAGAACCTTTTCTCTTTCACAGATAGCTCAAGAGAAACTGCTATATATTCCACTGAATCCCTACTCTGTGAGGATTTTAAATATTAGATAACACAATGTGTTTCCTTTTCTATATTTGAAAACTCCTTCCAAGAGCTTTCCTATGTGTTGACTATTTGGACGTGGGTATCATGAAACAGATGGTATATGTTCTCTTCCACATGCTGTGGGCTCACTGCTCTGCACACAGGAAAATAGCACCCCAGGAGAGATGAGGATGTGTCAGCAGGCCAGTGCTCCTCCTTCTACCTTGTCTATTTTAGTTTACCTGTCCTTAAATACGTTTTGTTTTCTCCCATTTCCCAGGGTAGGGTTCCTTTCCCTGTCCCCAGTGTTTGCTACCTCATGCTTTGCTTTAGCCTACCCTGCTTATGGCTTCCACTTAAGAAGTCTTGCCATAGTTCTGCTCGTTGCTGATTTTTGTGTGTTGTTTGTTGATTTAATTTGACTTTGGTCAGAAGGAAATTATGACAAATCAGCGCTAAGTTCAACACAGGCCTTGAGATGGTTCAAGAATTATGGACAAAAGTGACTACTATGATACAATAGGCTGAAAAGACCAGGAGACTAGTCTAGGAGACTAGACATTGATAATGAAAAGCAGATTGAAGCTAGAGGAAGTATGTCAAGTAAAGGATAAGTCCACTTGAAAATGCCTCTTCTGGCAGGAGACCAGAGTCCAGGGTTGTCCATGGGAGGTTGCTCCGGACTCAGGCAGCTTCTGGTCCACAGAACTGGCTCTGCTCTCAGCTATGTCTCAATCCAGTTCCCATGGAAGTGTACTCCACAGCTCACACTTGGGATTGCAGGCTCCTGTTTTCCTCTTTGAGTTCAGTTCAGGAAATGGTGCCAGGTTATCTGTCTCCTGTGTCTCATTCTATTTGTCTGTGAGAGAGCTGCTTCTATTGCTAGTCTAATGGTTTTGTGGATATAAAATGAAGTCTGAGGAATCATTGTCCTTCATATGAACATAATGTAGCTTGCTTAATGTTTTTAGGGTGGGGTGTGCCCAGTTATGCATGATGAGTTATAAAGACACCACAGATTTTATGTTTTGAAGTGGCCTCAGTGTCCGTTAACCTATACCAGAAGTCCAAAAAAGCCAAAGACAAGAGAAAGACAAAATGCCAAATGATGAAGATGCAAATCTACAGAATAAATCTGCTCTTGTCAGAATTTCAGGCTCTACCAAGAGAGATGGCAAGCTTTGATTGTGTGTTCATAATAAAAGTGTTTTGGGCAAATATTTTCCACAGGTACCAGGTATGTTTGTGGAAGTGTTCAGGAAAAGCACAGAGAATGGGGCTCCTCTCAACTGAGTGGGAATTTTCTTTTCTGATTCTTCATCCAGCCATCCAACACCCCCATGCTCGTCAACCCAAATATCCCTCTCTCTACCCTCCCATCCATCCATCCATCCATCCACTCACCCAGCTCTCTTTTCATGTGTAGAGATGTACGTTCATCCACCCACCCACCCATCCTCCATCTGTCCACCTGTCAGTCCATCCATCCATCCCTCCATCCATCCGCATGTGGTCATTTTCCAGGCTCTTCTTTTCATCATTATTATAGGTACCCTCATGTTATCCTTACATATTTACAGATGTAAGGGGGTATAGTGGAAAACATTTAAATTGCTTTTAAAAAATAAATTTAATTTCTATTTGAGACCCTATTTCCTTCTCTAGTGAAGGAAATTTCACCTCCATCAATTCAAAATATGCTCAAGAATGCTTCAGAATTTTCTTGGTCAGTTTAGAATTTCCTGCCTGCCCTTAATTATGTCTCTGGGTTGATTTTTAACTTTGAACTTCAGGGCATTAGGTCCTGTCAGTTATATTGACATCCACTCTGACACCTCCAGCTTTGTCCATATCCCTGCTGGTCCTAGGCATGGGTCCATCGTGGTCCTTCTTAACTCTCCCTTAGGACTCAGTGAACTTGCTTTCTCACCTGTGGTTTGCTCATAACAATAATTCAGGTGGACTTTGGTCATTACACTATCAAATACGTCCTATATTTTATGTGTCAGTGCTTTTCCACTGTGCCTCTCATACATCCTAAAATTTAGGAAGAATCTCATTTAGATCTCATTAAAAGACCCAACCTGCCTGTGTCAATAGTTTATATTTTCTGCTCCTCTCTCTCTCTGTCTCTCTCTCTCTCTCTCTCTCTCTCTCTCTCTCTCTCTCTCTCTCTCCCCACCCTCTTTTCTCTCTTGGCCATGACAGCTTTACCAAATTTAGGATGAGAAAAGTAACTCCTTCTCCTCAAGCTTTCATCATAGTCTATCAGCTGCAGTGTGCACTTTATACTCCACAGCTTTGGGTGTTGATGAAAATCCAAAATGAACAAAAATTTTTAGAAAAAAACCTTGACTTCCAAAATTACTATTTATACCTTGGGCTTCAGAAGACTACTTAGTAAAGGAAAACTTGCTTGTTTACTGTTTACAGGTATGTGGTCAGGTGTGTTTGTGTTTCTACAAAAACAACCCCCTTTACCTGAAGTCCAGTTGCCCAGCAGTGCAGTACCATGTGGAACTATAGGGGTGAGGAGGGGCCACCTTAATTAATATCTCAACATATCACCTGGGGTTGGCAATGCATGGAGCCTTCTTCACCTCCCACTGCCCTTCACATGTGCTTTGTGTTCCTGTTTTATCTCATCACACTCATATCCACTGAAACCTGCAAAGTTGCTCTTAGATTCCATGATGTTAAGCCAAGTTTCATGGACTCTAAATGCCTTTGCCTACATGGAAAACTCCTGTGCATTGTTCCAAAGCCAGCTCCAGAATTTTCCTCTTTGAACACATCTTTAGAATTCTAAAGTAAAGTGAATCCTTACCATTGAAGCCTGGATTTTGAATGCACAATGTGTTTAGGACTTAATACAGCAGTCAGTATATAACATACTCAGAAAGTAGGGGAAAATGTGAATGGAAAGAAGAAAGGAAAGTTTCTGCACAAGAAAGAGGAGTGACAAGAAGAAACACAGTTTTGTTTTATACCTATGTGACTGAAGACTTAGTGGATAATGGAATTCTCACATTTGCTTCTTGCCTATATCATACCAACCATTGTTCTCCATACTTTAGATTATTTCATTGTGTATGACGGTTTTATGCTACCCATTTCACAGAATGCCAAGCTACAGAGAATTTAAACACCTTGTCCATGATTCTTTATCCACAGTGGTAGAACCAAGGTGGGGATCCAAAGAGCCTCAATCCTGGAGTTCATATCCTTGCTTATGATGCTTTATCCTTGGTACCTGCTGTCAATACTCTAGTGGCCGATCTGCTGAGTGTTGCTTCCTATGAGCTCCTCTGTGATGTCCCCTTGCCGTGGACCACATTCACTTCTCCCAATCTAAGACTCTTCTTGTTGGATATTCCCTTTATTTAGTTTTGAAAATACAAGATCTGGTATCAGGAAACGCAAGTGGAGCCATCCTTACAATTTTATTTTATCTTTGGTGAGTTATTTAAGCACTTAAAGGCAGGTAGTTTTAAATGCAGTTTGTTGTGAAGATCAAAGGAAGTAATTATGCGAAGTGCTTCAGAAATGGCTGGTTTCAATCCCATCCTCCACCAAGACGCTGGCAGTGGTGATGGAAGAGAGCCAATTCCTATGTGCTCCAAATGCTTCTGGTTTTAAAAGTCTGCAATTTCACCTTTAACTTTGGGTTGGTTAAACTCTCTGCTACCACAATGGCTGCAAAGAGAAATGAAGTTGATGGAAAAAGAGTTTTGGAACACTAGCATTTACCAAATTGAATTCCACAACTACTCCCATCAGCTTCTGCAAAATAGGCAACATGTCCTGGCCCTGCCTTCAAACTACAGGGATGTGGAATTTTTGTTTTTATTTTTTTCCTCAAATTCATGTCCTGGCTGAAAAAAATCTGGGGAATATCTGTGCTGCAGTGTGTCCACATCCATGTCCACGTGTGTAGCAGCAAGACTGGCCTGTCCAAGTCCTGTTCTCAGCACCCTGCGTCTCAGGAGAACACTTAACTTCTAGCAGGCACTGTTGGGAATGGGCTCCGGAGCTGGGCATACTGGAACTTATTTCTGTGTAAAATAATCTCCAAGGTGGTGAAGAAATCATGCCTTCTAACATGTGAGATTCTAACAGAATCTCTCTTTAAATATCAAACAGTGTCTGTTGTTACATGGAATGTGCTTCTCTGGGGAACAAAAGTTGGAGCACATGTGGCTCCCAGAACATGGGAACCAGACCATACTAAAAGAAACTCCATGTGCAAGGTCAGCTACAGCCATAATGAGCTGACTGTTGAGATTCTGAGAGGGGGTATGGAGGGGCACAGAGTTAGGGGTGTGCCACCTGCCTTAGATGCATGTGCTCTCTCACCATTTAGTTCATCTAGAAGGATCAGGATATTGCATGAGCCACATGGCCATTGACAAAGCCTCAGAACTCAAAGAATCTTGTTTAACTAACCTAAGCCCGTTGCCTCATCAATAGAAGAAGAGCAGTAAATGGAAAATAATCAGAGCTTCCTGCCAGATCTTGAGTTCTAGACATGCAACCAGTGTTGTTGTCTTCTTATGCCCTTTCGTGTAAATTTGAAGAATCTGTTGTATGTATATTTTCCACTGTTTTATAGAGTCATGTGCCTAAGGAATGTATTCCTAAGCAAAATAAAGAATGAAAATATTATCCCAGAAAAAATATGATTAGCTAAATATAGCTCAGTAAGGTAGTACCAAAGCTAAATCATGCTTAAAATGATTATTCATGATAAGCTATAGCATCCAAAGCAGAATTGTGCTCAAGGCTACTGTATATTCAATAGAAAAAATGAAAAATAGAAAAATAATGGGAACCCTGAAATAAATTTTGTAATATAGATACTTGAAATGATGAATACTCTTAGAATTTTCTTTTGTTTATTGAGACAGAGTCATAGTTGATTTCATAGATGATTAGACATTACTTTAAATATTGAAGAGCTATTTGAAACACTCAAAAACAGGAAAAAATGACATTGCTTTTAAAAATATGAAGTAAGGCTGATTATTTTCTGTTCACTACAATAGATTTCACTCAATACATTTTCAACACAGTAGGAAAAAGAGTTGCTTTTCATTATACTCTGTTAATAGTAGAGGATGTGTTTTTTATTTTACAGGGACCGTCTGTTCTGTCACGCAGTGAGTCCATTTTGTTTCTAGAGGACTCAAAATGGCTTTTTCATTACAAAAGAAAATGGCTAAAGACCAGGGACTGTTAGCCACCTACCTCTTTGCTCCTGGGAAAAACACTGCAGTTGGTGGTTTCCCTTGTTGTCTGTGAAACTCAGGTTAACACTGACTATGATTGAGTTGTAAACACAGAGGAGACAGTCCCCACTGAGCATGCAGGATGTTGTGGTGAGCTGATTCTTTCTGAACAGCCACTTGCTGCCATTCGCTCTACACAAGTCCATGTTTAACTACCAGGATTGCTCATGGTGACCTAAGTGCAAAAGGAAGTAAACAATGAGACACCCCCATGCCTCCTGAAAGGAAATAATCTCAGAAGTAATGCCAAAGATGCCATGGTTTACTGTTACTTTGTGGTCCACAATCATTTCTTACCAGCAACCATACAGACTACAGGAGGAGGGAACAGTAGGTTTGCTTGGAATCTTGCAAATCATTAGCTCTCTGAGTCAACTTGGATACAAGTAATCCTTTCAATGTGTCTCTACCTGTAAAACAGGAGCGCACCACTAGGAGGCCTAGGGCTTGGGTTAATTGGAGGGCCATCAATGGAAGAAGCTGAAGAAGTCTTAAGATAGGAAGTGCTCAAAAAGTATGCATTGACGATAATTAGACACAGCAATATGGCAGCAGCTGCTGTGTGTTCAGGGAGAAAAAGCAAGGAAATGGTAAGAAGAAAGGATGGAAGGAAAGGGAGGATGAAAGAGGAAGAAGGAAGAGAAATAAAGAGAAAGGAAAGCAAACATGTTAGAAAGAAGGATGCTGTATACTTTCTCCTGGAGGCTGCCTCTGACCACACCCTCATTCGGAGACTTCTGAGCCTTGAGTGGCCAGTGTCTGTCATCAAGTCCACAGGCTGGTGCTCAGGATGTGGACTTGTGCCTTGAGTGCTTCATAGCAGGCAGTTCAGGGAAAGTGGGCCACGTCTGCTTCCTCAGGAACTGAGGGGCATGAGAGCCTTGGTGGAGGAGTAGACTCTCCAGAGGATGCACACAGGAAGCACTGATTCACTCTCTTCATGCCCTTTAGTACTTTGATCCCCTGGAAGACCAAAATGTTCTGTGTGTTCTTCTCTTACGTGTGGACAGGGGCCTTGCCTAATTTGAAAGTTGGTTGGAAGGATCAGCCAAAACCATTTAACTTTTGTATAACTTCCAAGGTATTATCCACACAAGAGTGTTTGCTGAATTGTGGGCCCAAAAAAGACAAGCTAGATTTTTTGCAGATACAATGAAGATATAAGGTCGTTACTGATATAACAAGATGGGCTCCCCCTGGGAACTCTCAGGCGGATTCTCAATCCAATCTGCCTGACTTTCTCATAAGAAGATCCAGACACAAGAGAAACTAGGAAGAGGCAAAGAAGAAGCTACCAAAGAAGCATGATTCTGCCAAGACCTTGGGCTGGGACGTTCAGACTCCACAACTCTAAGACAACAATTGTCTCTTGCTTTCAGCCACCCAGTCTGTGGCACTGTGATGGCTAATACAGCTCATAAAGCTAACACAGCCTGTGTATGGCTGCGTTGTTTGCTCCCTCCCTTCCCCTATTATGTCTAGAAATGTCCTGAGTCCTTGTACTCCAGGCATCACGCAAGTGGGAGTAAAACAGTAATGCTAACTGGGACTGGTGGGTACTGCGAGGTGCCAGATACTGCCTGTCCTAGGTGAGTCATTCAAAACAGTGCCATGAGATTATTACTCTTTCTATTCTTAAGTTATAAATGAGTAAATTGACATCACATTGAGTTTTTATATCTTGCCCTCGGTCACACAGTTAGTGACCAGCAGAGTCAGAATTGGAACCCAGGCCCCTAAGAACAATACACTTAGCCAATCCCTGCACACAGTCTCTCACAATGAATTATACAAAGGCCCTGAGAGTCAGGGGCTCACAGTATAAAACCAGGAAAACAAAGTACTTTATTAATTCAGAATTTTTGAAGATAAAGGTAGCATTCAATACAGGGGGCTCTGGAGACTTCCTGGAGAAGGTGATGGATGGGAGAATACAGACGGACATGGAGGAGAAGGGACACACGAGATGCCCAGCCTTGTGCGGGACATCAGCGAGGAAAGCAGATAGGAGCTTCCCTGGATCACCAGGACCCTCAGGTTGGAGGTGTCAGAGGGAGAGCTGGGAATGGTCCTGGGTTCACATCACTGGGGTGTCGCATAGGCAGAAGGAGGATAGGTTTTGAATTTGGAGATCTGGGTTTGAATAAAGTCTTCATTTGGTGCTTTTAGTTTGTTTAGTCTTCAGGACTTGTCTCCCAGGTTCTGGCTACTGTCACCCAGGTCTGAGGTATTCATTCGTTCATTGATTTACCCATTGATTCATCAATTCAATAAACTCTTACTGAGCCCTCGCTCTGTGCCAAGTCTTGCTTTCAATGATGGAGACAGAGAGGAGCAAGCATGCCAGCATCCCTCTGTCTCGGTGCTTATGTTCCTGAATGAGAACAAATGGTAAACAAGCACAGGCTGCCACAGGAGGATTCTGTAGAGAGAGGGCCACAAGGAGACAACAAAAACTAGGTCTCAGGATGAAGCGAGACAATGAATGGGAGATGACGCCATTGATAGAGGAGCTGAGAGTCCTCTCTGGGAGGCGGCATTCGAGTTGAGACCTGAAGGACGAGCTTGGCCATTCATGCTGGGATTTAATGCAAAAGCATCCTAGAAAGAGGAAGCCACAGGTCCAGAGCCCTTAGAAAGAAGCAAGCTTGGCATTTTCAAGAAGCGAAAAGGAAAAGCCAGTGTGGCTAACGTGTCATGAAAGATGGGTGTGATAGGAAGGAAACCGGATCACAGAGGGAGAAGAGGCGCGAGGTCCCAGGGCTGCTGCTCTTGCTGGGAGTTTGTACTTTCCAGCGCGGCCAACGGGGAGGCCCTCAGGGATTGGGAAAGGGCCAGCGTTGTTGTCAGATTCACATTTTCTCGAGTTCTCTGCATTGGTAACTGCCTGGGCACAATCAGGAAATAATATCACTGAGCGTCCTTGACCTTTCTCACAAGGCTAGAATTAAGCATTTGGGGTACGGGGATTAAACCCAGGACCTTTGGACTGAGCTACGCCACCATCCCTTTTTATTTGATTTATTTTTAAAATTTTGAGTTTTCAGTAGGTTGCTAAGTTGCTCAGGATGAGCTCAAATTTGTAATCTCCCTGCCTCCACCTCTCAGCTTTCGAGACTACAGATTGACTCATTCTTACAGGAGTAAGAGTGGCCAAGTGGGCTAAGTGTTTGTATGATGTTGGAAGCCCCTTGTCACATGGACCTTCTGGGGCAGAGGATGGGATCATCACATCCAAAGAAGGCAGCAGTCACTCTCTTAGACTTTCACTCCCCTTGCTAGAAGAGTGTGGCTTAGTAAAAACTATTAATTTGGTTGCAGATGTTGTGTGCTTGCTTGCTCCTTTCCCTAGAACTGGATTTAGTTAGCACTCAACAAAGACATGTGCCCTGCTATTGTCCTTGGGTCTTAAGTGAATCTCTCCCTCAACTGCCCTCTTGTGCTTTTCCCTTTTATTGACTACAGTTTGCTGAGTCCTATATCTTTAACCAAGTTCTTCCCAGTCTCCAGGCAGGGTTGTCCCCAAAGCCATGGCATTTGTTCCCCTCAGGTTATGATGATGTCCACCAGGTTGGACACCATGTTGGCTGTTACTTAGAGATGGATGCTCGCCACATTCCACAGCCCACAATTTCTGTGTCTTCCTTGGCACTTTATCTTTTCTTCCAGCCCTCTTGCCTCCCACCTTCCAGGATGCTTTTATATTCTTGGTCCTTCCTCACATCCCAGATCATTAATGCTAACCCACCTGGGCTTTATTTTCCCATTATCTTGATGAATACAGATGTGTAATGATTGCCCTGACTCTTTGACTTAGAAGAAAAAATCTTCCTAAGTTGTTTTTGTTTTTGTTTTTTTCGGTACCAGGAATCAAACTTAGGACCTTGTGCTTGCCATGCAGGTGCAGCGCCACTGAGCTAAATCCCCAGCCCCTAAGTTTTTTATTTTAATATTCCCTAGGTCATCTTGCATTTTTAATTTTTTTACAAGAATCTTCAAAGAAAGAGTCTTCCAGACAATGAGCTTTTAAGTTTTGGCTGTTTTTTCTCCACTCATTAGGAAAAACAATAACAAAACAAATGAACCAAAAATCCCATCAAAATACTTGACATCTACCTAATCACTCCCAAAGAAGGGGGAGATTCTCAGGTGGACAATTAATTAATTCCAAAGTGATCCCTTCATTAATAGCTGCAATAAATGGTTAATGAGTATCATTGCTTCTTTGTCTTACCTAAGAAAGTTCAGGTAATTCATGTAGCAAGGGAGAGCAGCTCCCTGAGCAGAAACTGACCCATTTGCCCCCAAAATACTTCATGATATGGATGAAGAGCTCATAAGAGGCAATGATTTAACACCAGCAACCTTTCTCTTTGCTAAGTAAAACTGATATCTGAAAGATGAATGTTGGTCCCTGAGCCATGTATCTGTGAAAGATACTTCTTTTAAAGAGGAAAGAAACCATTCAAAAATGTAAACCAAACTCTGGTTTCCTGAGCATTTACATAAATCAATATATATCAAATGGCATTCTATTATCTGAAAAAGGAACATCTTATTCCGGGAAAATACAGTGGCAGATGATATGTATAAGTATGGCTTTACATATCACTTCTTTGCTTACTCATCCAAAAGATGGAAATATTTATATTCAACAAGGAAAAAGAATATGATGGTTTTAATGCAGAAAGTAAATACATCTGAAAACAGAGTGAACAGCAGAAGGAATTATTTGCCTTACAGTCATACCTTGCTACTGGACTGCTTTAAAACTCATTGAATTTGTTACTTTGACATGAAAATTTTGTCCTGGAATTGTCCTTAGCTTGTTATTTGACACACAAGCTAGACCTCTTCAATGTCAATTACCTTGTGACACACCACCCTTTCCAGCCAAAACATTTGTTTAGTTCTTGTTGTTTTTGAGTACAAAAGAACCAATTAACAAGTACTGAGGTACCATTGAATTTGGACTAGGATCCAAAACTTATCCCTGTGCATGAAACATTTAGATAATTGAGTTAGAAGTCCCCTGCCTCTTATACCCTACCAACCTTTGTCTACTCATTTTATTTCTTAAATATCTCTCAGATCTATCATCCCCTTTATTGCAACCACACTACCAATTCCTGAGTTCACTCTTCCTTAGACCAAGGGGAATGAACTTGGTGCTTTAATATTTGCGTAAAAATTTCCCCCAAAAGATTAGAAGATGAGGCATTGTTGGATTCAATATTGCGATAGGGCTGGTATCATTCCACTTTACCAAAAAAGTAATATTTTAAAAGCACACCATCCACAGTCACCAGCATTTTTTAAAAAAACAAATAATACATGTAATGATGGAAAAAATTCAAGTGACAATTTCAAAATGCAGTCCTTTCAATTGAATGCATTGAGTCTGACTAAATAAAATAAATCTGCATTGTCTTTTCCACTCCCTTCCTGCCAGAAGCTGTGGAGAGTGCCTCACATTGGCGCAGACTCTCACAAAGCCTTAGATTTTCAATCTTTTAGTTGTAGCCCCAGAACTGCTTTCCCAACTCAGTTTTCTCACCGGAGTCTTCTTTCTGACTTCAGTCAAAGTAATCTTCCCAAATATGCAATCTATTCACTTGTTTAAAATCTCCTTCAGCTTCCCATTATCCTCAGAACAGAGTGGATTCTCTTTCCTAAGACAAATTTTAAAAATCCCGGCTCTGTTTTTTCTGATAGGTTCTTGGTCAGTCTTTTTCAAGACTGCACTTAGGATACTCCTGTAGAATCAGACCATCTTCCTCCTAAACAAGCAAGCTGTTACTTTTGCAAATACCAATTTTGCTACCTGTTCCTAAAAAAGTTCTTACCTGACTTTCACAACTCAAATGAAAGGCAATCTGCTTTGCACCAGCTTCCCAGGCTGCATCTTTACTGATTCATTCAACAAAAATCATTAATCCTCTGCTGTATATCAGGCACTGTGGCAGTAAGGACCAGCAGAGACAGCAGACTCCTTGCCCTGTGGAACTTGCTTTCTTAAGTGTCTTTACACTGAGCTACCACTGTGTCTCAGATTCTATTTTATCCTAGTGTGAAACCATGTGTTTTATCTCTCCCACCCAAACCCTTTTAAGGATATAAAGAAGTTCTACTAATGGGTAACAAAGGGTGATGTAGTATATAAACCAGCACTATTCCTGACACACTGAAATCTTTGACTACCCCAATTATAGAATGTGTCACTACTTATTGGACTTTCCCAGGAAATATGTATGCATGGTACCTAGCACATGGCATGGACATGGTTGGCTAGCAAAAGCATGTTGACTGGTTTAACAAATGAATGAAAGACAAATACTCACAGCTCCTTGTTTAACTTTGCATGAGTGGACACTGGTGTGTTCCCACAATAAATCCTCCATTAATGGTAAGAACTGTGTTATAGGTTATGAGAAAAAAATCACAATTCAAACTGGATTAAGGGAGAAACAGATGAATGTACCTGGAAACTCAAGAGGATTAATTTCAAGTATGGCTGGATACAGATAATATAATATATAATTCTCTCTCTCCTTTCTCCTGCTTAGCCTTTCTTCAACAAATTATCTCCATGTAGAGATGAGATGGTTTCCCAGCAATTCTGTTTCTTTGATTATTACAGTGTATCAGCCTAGAGAGACAAAATCTTTATGAAGAATTTCAGATAAAGTTTTAAAGAGGACTTTGATTGCCTCAGTTTGAGTAACTTGTTTGCTCTGAAAAACACCGGTAAGAAAACATTAGCTAATGCTTACACAGCACATATTTTGTACCAAGATTTGCCCTAGGACTTTTGTATGGCTTCTTGGCTTTGATTCTCTCAGTGACCTTACATACCAAGGGCTGTGGCTTCTGAGCCTCCCGCAATTATTGAGATGCTTCCAGAGTGGGAAGGAAATGATTTCCAAAGGAAAAAATGCTGGGGAGGAAAGAGAAGTTGTACTCCATCCCTCCAAAATAATCAGATACTAGTTTAATCCAAATATTCTGCAGGGTGCTGATTCATGAGTCCCTCTGAGATTATTAATGAAGGAGGACACATGATTAAGATCATGATGTCCCCACTCTGGAAGGCTCCTTTATGCCCTATTCCATAAACATAAGGAGACAGCAAGCTCCAAGGCTGAGGCTCTGCGGCTCCGGGGCTCTGGGGTCAGAAGCCAGCTGCTGGAGTCCAGATCGGCCATTTGCCCACTGTGAGATGGAAGCTAAGATAATCATCCTCCTCATGTCTGTTCTCTCTTCCATAGGATGGGGATAATTAAAAGGTCAGTGTGAGAAGGAGTGAGAGAATGCATATAAACTATTAAGCACCATGCAACTCCAAGTGCTTATTCAAAAGAAAACAGAATGATAGCTGTTGTTAGGGCCAGATTCACGAATTCAGATGACCTGCAGGGTCATACAAAACCTGGTTTTTAGAAGACACTCTTGCTTGGTTTCATATACACATTTTACCTTCTTCAAATTCTTGATAATTTTATATCTGAATTTGTTTTGTAAGTGATGCCCCATGGGACAACAGAGCATGTACTTTGCAAGATTGGTGGTCACTGAAACAGAATATCTGCCACCCACAACTTAAAAAAGAAGTTTATTTTGGTTCACTAGTTTTAGAGGATTCAGTCCATGGTCTGCTGTCTCTAAGGTAGAAGTGGCATGGTGGAAGGTATGGCAGAGGAGAGCTGCTCACCTCATGGCACCCAGAGAGCAGAGAGAGAGAAGGGAGGAGCCAGGGACAAAGATAGAGGCTTCCGGGTCACACCCCCTATGACCCATCTCCAACCAGTCCCACCTGCTCACAGCGCATTCTGCTATGAACTCATCAATCATCCTCCATCATCCATTCACCTTCCACACACGTGAGAGTTTTGTGGGACATTTTATATATATATACCATAGCACACATGCACACTGGAGATAACTATAATCCTACCATTTCTTGTCCCCCACTCCCATAAAGCATTGCAAATTTCCATCAGCACAGAACTCTGGGACAGTGACCTCACATGAAGTTAAATGAGACTCATCCAATAGTAGGATAAGTGGGTGACTCTGCTTGATTGGGTACAGATGCTGGCAGCTCTGAGGCTCTGCTTTCTTTCCAAAGCAGAACTTGCTTCAAACACAGAAATAAGAAAATCTCATGAAAAAAACACACAAGACCAACAAACCTTATCATACCGTTTCCTATTATTGTTAATTCTATTGGGCAATCACGCTGCAAATGATGATGCTGGAGGAAAGAGACCCTGCATCCTGATTGTTTCTCTGCTAGTTCTGCCATGTTTCTCAGTAAGCTAAGGCAGAGATTGCTGTTGAATAGGCCCAAATAAGGAATTGAGAGAAAACAGGTGGGTTCCTTTTGTGCATGATTTTTACTGTTGTAGTAGAAATTCATATGTATGTAGGAATTATAAAATAGAAATTATGCAACTGTAGCAATTCTGAAGGTGAAATGAATGCCCTGGTAGCTACATATTTAAAATTGACACTGCACAACATGAAGACGAATGGGAAAACTCACGCTAATCATTTAAATTTTAATCTTTCTGCATTGAAAATGACATCCAATAGCAATTAAAAATATGACAAATTGAAAGAGAAACACCATAAAAGAGAAGGATTTAATTTGAGTTTATTGGCTCCTTTTTCCTACATTTGAAACAAGGGAGTTCATCATTTTTATTTTTTACAGGGCCTCAAAGCTTATGTACCTGACTTGGGTTGTTGTAATTATTATTTTCTCCTGTGAATGAATCTAGGTCTGTCTAAATGCCCTTGTCTCCAGGAAGGCTGCCTTGACTGGTCAGAATCTATCTCACTATTTCTGTCTCGCTGTCTCTCTGTCTCTCTGTCTTTCTCTCTGCCCCTCTTTATCTCTTTCTCCTGTAAATTTTTATTCGATTTCCACCTTAGCACAACCCCCAGTGTTATTTGTATATGCACCCCTCTTACCTAGCAGGCTGTGAACTCCTTGGGCTTTGGAATCTGAGCCTTAATTCTCAGCCACGCTGTCAGCCCACACCAGCTGTCAGTTGCTGCTTTCAGAACAGAATCACTGGCATCCTCAGGAACTGCTTGTCCAGATGTGAATTTCTCTCCAAGGATTCACCTGAATACTGCACTTTGATCAAATTCAACTTAATGTCCCAGAAACGTGGTAGCATCGCTTTCTCACAGGAACTTTCTTCCACATTTTGATGTGCATCTTTTGATCCCAGGCAACCTGGAAGGGATGGTAGCTTCATCGGCTGCCCTAGAGTGGATCTCCTTTCCTGGGGACAGTGAAGGGACTGCTTCCCCTCTCAGCCCAGCTGCCTCAGTCTGGGCCCTGTCTTCCTCAGAACAGGCTTGGGTTTGGTACATCCCCAGAAGGCGAGGGTGGGAGGCCCTCTTCCTTTTCACAGGAGGGGGACAGCTGGCTGCCAAGAATAGAGTGTCTGATCTTGGAGCTATAACTCACCTGCTTCCTGCTGGAGGGGTCCTTGAAGTCAGGACTGACTCCCCTGTCCTGGGAGCAGAGGATGCTGACACATGAGGAATCCCATTGTCCTTGGACTGAACACTCCTCAGTGTGGCCTTGGGCCCACTATGACTTGGCTCTGGCCTCCCTTGCCATCACCCCATACCTAACCCATGCCCTGGTGCCAGACATCTGAGCCTTCCGAGCACATTCTCTGGGCACAGTCCAGCCCTGCTGGTACAGACCCCCGTGCTTGGGGTGCCCTTGTACCCCAAACCACTGCACCCCAGCACACCCCCAAACCACCCTTCACCTCTCGGGGAACTCTTACTTTAGGTCTCATTCTCAGCATAAAATGTAATTATTCATCTGGGAATATAGAAGAACCTTTTCCAAACCAATGCAACATGAAAACAATCATGTTGGGATAAAACAGAAGATGCAAAAGCATGAGCACCAAATACAACTAAAGGAAATTGTAGGTACATGATAAGGATGTTGTTTGTCCTTATCAGAAGATGTAGGGCAAAAATACCAAACAAAAATACAGCAGACATAAAAATAAAAGTACATTTTTCCTAAGCACCACACACAATTGAAAAGCAAAGGATAACATAACTTTAGTCGATTCATCAAATGATATAAATATTCTCAGCTTAAAAAGGTCTCAGACAACTGATTAAGAACAACACTCCCATAGAAACAACAGGAAAGAGTAATTCACAAAAGAAGAAATTCAATAAATGTTTTAAAAGTTTTATTTTAGAAGCTATCAAAGAAATGAAACTGAGGGGCCAGGGATGTAGCTTGGTGGTGCCATGCCTGCTTGGCAAACACAAGGTCCTGAGTTCGATTCCCAGTACCACAAAGAAAAAAAAAGAAACAACTTTGCTATTTTTTTCTACTGTCCACTTGATAAAGACTTTTAAATAACATTATGGTAGATTGCTGTTCAGCAATAATTGTTCCACTTCTGTCTTCTTGACTTTGGGTTAACCATGTGATAGCCTTGGTGTCATGGTAGGTGAATTATGTTTCCACATCCCCTCACCTGGGCTTGGTCATGTGACTTGCTTAAACCAAGCTCAATATTGTTTGAGCTTTGTCTTAGCATGTGTATACATGGTAAGAGTTTCTCCCCTGAAGACCCATCTTTTATTATATGAAGAACAAACTTTGGATGTCTGTTTGTTCAGAAAAGATGACAGAGAGAAGCAGATCTATAATTTGGAGCTAAGCCCAGCCTAGAACAGCTCAACTCCAGCCAACACATAGACAAGTGAATGAGAAATTAATTTTATTACTATAAGGTGTGCAATTGGAATTGAAGGTGGTTTGTTGCACAGCATAATAAACAGAAAAGCTAACTGAAGCAATTCTTGCTATCAGAGGAAATGTCAAGAAATATTTAACCATTGCAGTAGAAGAACCAAGAAGCTTAGCAGAAAGAAAGAGGGAGAGAGGGAATATGAAAGAATAAATAAGAGGGATAGGCGAGAGAGGAAGAGAACAGAAGAGAATATCATAGTGAAGTGCTT